AACCTGGGTGTTCTCTAGTGGCGAGCAGTGGGGGGTGGGTGCAACTTACGGGAAATGGAGTGACCCCTTTTTCTGTCGACTACAGTTAGTTGGAGGTTTGGATAAAACACTTAGGATCTTTGCTTCTTCACTAGTCCGAGGGTAGCAAGGGAATTCCACTGCAGAGGCAGTGGCAGAGAGGCTTTCAGATGCTCCTGGGGGCTCTGTCCAGGGAGTTGCCGAGCTGCTACTGGCTTAATAGCTCTGGTGTGGGTAGCTGGTGACCCAGGCCTGGAGGACCTGCCTGGTGAGGAGTTATGGGAACGGGCTCCCGTGTAACAGTCTGGCTGCTTTTCTGTAGGGCTGCTATGGTATGCTGGGTGCCTGCTCCAGTTGCTAATGACCTTGGATTTTCCAGTACCTCCAAGTATCAACATTGAAGGCTGTGAAGCAGCAAATATGGTGGCCTGCCCCTCCCTTTGGGAGATCTATCTGAGGAAGATGTGGACTTGTTGCCAGACTTAAGGCACCTATAGGATATGGCTGGAGACTTTGGTTGGGAGGTCCTGCCTCATAAGGAGGAATGGGATTGAGGTTCCACTTAAGAAATGCTGTCTGGCCATGTTTTTGTAGAACAGCTGTGCTGTGCTGGTGGACCGCTTCCGTCCCTGGTTGGCTTGGACTCCCCAAAGCCCGAAGGCTGGAATGGCTATGTCACCCAAAGAGCAAAGATGGTGGCGCACCCCTCCATCTGGGAGCTTCCTTCCAGGGAGTTTTCATATCTCTTTTGGCCAGAGAACACTGGCGAGGGCTGCTGGTTCCAGTTGGGAGGTCCCACCCAGTGAGGAGGAATGGAATTGGGAATCACTTAAAAAAGCAGTCTGGTCACATTTTCATAGAGTAGCTGTGCTTTGCTCGGGGACCGCTTCTGCCCTGGCTTGAACTCTCCAAAGCTCTAAGGGTGGAAGGGCTAAGTTGCCCAAACAGCAAAGATGGTGGCCTGCTTTTCCCTCTGGGTGCAATGTTTGAAAATTTGAAACCAGGGAGGTTTCAAATTTCTTTTTGGCTAGAAAACACTGGTGGGGGTGGCTGGAGGTCCTGGGTCAGAGGTCCTGCCTAGTGAGGAGGAATGGGAAAACAGCAGTCTGGGCCCGGGTGCGGGGGTTCACGCCTGTAATCCCAGCACTTTGAGAGACCGAGGCAGGCAGATCATGAGGTCAAGAGATCAAGATCATCTTGGCCAACACGGTGAAACTCTGTCTCTACTAAAAATACAAAAATTTGCTGGACGTGGTGGCACATGCCTATAGTCCCAGCTACTCGGGAGGCTGAGGCAGGAGAATCGCTTGAACCCGGGAGGTGAAGGTTGCTGTGAGCCGAGATTATGCCACTGCACGCCAGCCTGGAGACAGAGTGAGACTTCATCCAAAACACAAACAACAACAACAACAAAAAAAACGTCTGGCCACGTTTTTGTAGAGCAGCTGTGCTGGTCTTGTGGAACTAGTTCTGACCTGGGATGGCTTGGACTCTCCAAAGTCCAAAGACTGGAAAGACTAAGTTGCCCAAATAGCAAAAATGGCAGCCCGCCTCTCCCCCTGGGAGCTCTGTCTCAGAGAGGTGTGATGCTGCTCCCTTTGGCTGGCTAGAATTCCAAGCCAGTGGTTCTTATCCTGTGAGGTGCCATGGAAGTGGGGCCTGCAGATTGTTGCTGCCCAGTCCCCTGAATTCAGCCCCTTTCCTAGGGATATGTATGGGGGTCTAGCCTCCCACTTCTTTGGAGTCGCAGCTTCTTTAGCCGGGTTGCCTGGAAGTTACAGTCAAGTCCTGACCCCACTCCCAGTTTGTGGTATTTTTCATCATAGATTAACTTTTTCCACAATTTTATATAAATGGTATCATACAATATGTACTCTTTGGCTAAGGCTTTCACTCAGCCTAATGTTTTTGAGATTCATTTATGTTTATATAGCAGATGATTATTCCTTTTTATTGGTGAATAGTATCCCATTTTATGGATATACGACAGTTTGTTTATTCATTCTCCTGTTGATGGTTACGTGGATTATCATCAGTTTGGGGCTATTAATAAAGCTGCTGTGGAAAGATTTGTAGAAGTATTTTTGTCAGTATATGCTTTTCTCATGTGTAATTGCCTAGAAATTGAAATTACTCGATCATAAGGCGGATATGTATTTATCTTATAAAAAACTGCCAGATATTTTTAGAAAGTGCTTGTACCGTTTTATATGCTCACCAAAATAAATGAGCATTCTGGCCCTCTACATCAATACCAGGTATTGACAATCTTTTAAATTATTTTGGTAGCTGCATACTGGAATCTTATATGTTCATTTGTAATGCTATTATAATATGTATGCACTTACCTAATGATATTGAGTACTTTTTCATGTGCTCATTAACCATGTTTTTTTGTGACGTGTTTCTTCAAACCCTTTGCCCATTTTTACCTTTTAATATCTATCTTATTAAGTTGAAAGAGTTCTTTATATATCCTGGATAACAAACCTTTAGTTTTACCTTTTTTTATTTTTTATTTTTGAGACGGAGTTTTGCTCTTTGTCACCCAGGCTGGGTGGAGTGCAATGGCACAATCTTGGCTCACTGCAGCCTCCACCTCCTGTGTTCAAGCAATTCTCCTACCTCAGCCTCCTGAATAGCTGGGACTACAGATGTGTGCCCAGCTAATTTTTTTCTATTTTTTTTTAGTAGAGATGGAGTTTCACCATTTTGGCCAGTCTAGTCTCAAACTCCTGACCTCAGGTGATCCGCCCACCTCGGCCTCCCAAAGTGCTAGGATTACAGGCATGAACCACCGCGGCCGATCAATACCAAGCCTTTATTATATATATTTTGTGAATATTTGTGTCTGGCCCGTTCATTTATTAAAATAATTTATTTTGTAGGGAGGTTTTTCATTTGAAGCCTAATTTATCAATAGTTTTAATTGCTTTTTGTGTCCAAAGAAACTTTTGTCTGTCCCTAATGTTGCATTTTTGATGTACATTTATTACTTACATATTGGTATATCCATTCAAATAAATTTTACTTTAATCTTGAAGCTTTCACCCATTAGCCAGTGATGCTCACTTAAGACCTTATGTTGATTGCAAATCAATCTAAGTATCTCAACAAAAAAATATAGAGTCAGTAGTTTCAGGTTTTTTTCCCCTCCTTTAAAGCCTAGGATATTTTCTAGTTTTGTAGTTTCAGGTTTTTTTCCCCTCCTTCAAAGCCTAGGATATTTTCTAGTTTTGTTGAGTTTTATATTTGAAGGATGAGAAGAGATAGCAGAAGTGTATTCTTCTCAGGCAAGAGGGATGAAAGTATAAATTGCTATGGGGAAACCTCAAATTCTAACATTCCTCTGTCTTCTCTATAGCTGCCATCACCCACCTTCTCCTTCCTTTCACTGTTCTCTCTGACGCAAGGGGTCACTGCTTGTAGGTTTCCTGATTCCAACATTTTAGTAAAGAGTGGCCATCTAGAATTGCTCCTATAGCTGAAATTCTAGCTAAATTGTAAAGACCACTGGAGATTCTGGACAGTGTATGAATTTACATTATTTCCGAAGAGACTGTCAGATGTAAGTACAATACGATTTATATTAATAAAGCTACTTTCGCAGGCGTTTTATTTAACCCTTTTCTCTGTTAGAGAAAAGCAGTACTTGTTTGGTAAAATGCTTGAGCCTAAAATCTGCTTACTTTTCAGACCTATGTCAACAGTTGATTTAAGAAACGTGAATCAGAATTGGGAGATGATCTCTAGTAGCATTATGCAAGAGTTATTTTATATTGTATTTTATTTCATTTCATTATTTTATTTTATGATGAGGTCTTGCTATTTTTCACAGGCTGGTGTTGAACTCCTGGGCTCAAGGACTCCTCTCTCTTTAGCCTCCCAAGTAGCTGGGATAACAAGTGTGTACCCCTGTGCCTGGCTGGAAGAGTCATGTTAGATATCACATTATAAGTTTTATTTTTTGTTTAATTGTTTAAAAACCTTTCATGAATTTTTATTTTATTAGAGAAGCAGAGAAGCAAAAATAAAAATGAAACAAAACAAAGAATCCCTCCCAACCAGAACCAGAATGGGTGTTGTAGGTGGGTCAAGTGTACTTAGGAGCTCATCATATAGAGTCAGTAAGTGCAAATCGTTTTACAAGGATCGGAGGCCCAATGTGCAGTGAAGAATTAAAGAGTTCTGGTTGCAGAAAATCCCCACTTAATGGTCTAATGTCTACAAAGTTTACCTGATCCTAGTTAGGAGACCTCTGGGTTGTCCAAAACAGCGATCTTCACATGACTGAGGAATGAAGAATAATAGCTCACCCAGTTATTAGTGAGAATTTTGTTTCTGTTACACTTACTGCAAATGTCTTGACGTGATGTGAATAACTGTTTCCCAGGATCTCCTTTTATTTTTGACCCTAAAGGCTAAGAACAGCACAGGGTCTTCCACTTTATCTAAAGTATCCAATTGTGTGTCTGGGTGTTTGTGTACGTTTTGTGTTGGAGATGGGTTTGGTGGTGGGTGGTGGTGGTGTTGGCGGTGGCGGCGGAGGTGTTGGTGGAGGAGGAGGAGATTTAAGTACTTACAGAAAACTTAGCAGTTTTTTAGTAGCTTTTTTTGAGATCTATTAAGATTTTCTTCCTTGCCACATTTGTTAACCCAGGAGTCATATATATTTATGTTATCTACTAAATGCCCATGTCAAGCTGTTCACATAATCAGTGGAGAAAGCTTTAAGGAAGCCAAAGATGTTTTTTTAACTCCTTATATGATGAAAAATTTCTTTTGGGATCTGAGAGGCCCACTTTTAGCCTACCACTTCCACTTATGTGAGCATTCCAGTTATGTGTACTTTTGAACTCTTGAGGCAGTAATATTAAAAAGTGAAGTAAGTTTAAGTGTTAAAGATGGTTTGTTGATGAAGATCAGTGAATTGATTTTTATACCCTTTTCTTTACTTTTTTTTTTTTTTTAAATTGTTACAGAAGAAGCTACTATGGAGGAAACTGGGCCAGTTTTAGCTTTTCAGGACTATTGTCCTGGCTAAAGGAACACCAGGTAAAGTTTGTATCTGATCTTTTAATTTGCTTTGTTTTATTGTATGTTACATAGTAACCCTGCATTGAAGAAAACCCTAAGCTTCACCTGCAATACGGGATTGATTCTTTATTTTTCTTCACTTATTTTACAAAAAACATATAAAGTCACCTTTTCAGCTAATATTTTCCCAGTGTCTTTATCCCGTTTTAAATATAAATAGAGGCCGGGTGCGGTGACTCATGCTTGTAATTCCAACATTTTGGGAGGCCAAGGTGGGTGGATCACCTGAGGTCAGGAGTTCGAGACCAGCCTGGCCAACATGGCAAAATCCCATTTCTACTAAAAATACAAAAATTAGCCGGGCATGGTGGCACGTGCCTGTAGTCCCAGCTACTCAGGAGGCTGAGGCAGGAGAATCACTTAAACTGGGGAGGTGGAGGTTGCAGTGAGCCGAGATTGCACCATTGCACTCCAGCCTGGGCAACAGGGTGAGACTCTGTCTCAAAAAAAAAAAAAAAAGAAATATATATATGTGTATAAATATAAATAGAAATATTGGCTGAAGAGTAAACTGTTTATACTTAATAACCATTTTCTAATTATTTATATTCCAAATATGACAATAATTTTTCCCCAAAATCATCTTTAGAAAAAATATCCTAGTCCTTATAAAATCTCACATTTACTGGTTGCTCTTGGAGTTAGTATATTTTGAACAAACACCAAAAAAAAAAAAAAAAAAAAAAAAAAAAAAAAAAGCCTAACAATTTGGGGAAGATACATTAATTTGAAATGATCTCGAGGTGATTTTATATTTATAGATGTCACCTGACAGAATCAGCCAAAAGAAAAATCAAAGAAATTTAGTATGAATTCAGTGATTTTTTTCTAAGGGTAGGATCTCAATACCAAGCTGTTTAATACCATTATAAAGAAACTGTTTAGATCATGTATAGCATAATATGGAGAGTCAGTTATGGAGTTTGCTAACTTTTATAAGACAGATTTTAAAAAAGCTGTCCTAATCTTATGCAGATTGGTACGTGTGGCTTGAAATGAAATTTCTGCTGAGAGCATCATACAGAAGATCAGAAACTGCCGTATCGCAAAAGAATTTCGATGTTTGGAAAGGAGGATGATGTAGTCCAGAAAATTGTATTCAGTTAGCTAAGCATTTATCATGTACCAAGCACCATTGCATTGATTGATTGATTTAATCAGTGTACATGACTTAATCATTGTGCATGACTCAAAAAGTGCCTCTCATGATGACAAAGACACTGATATTGAAGATACAGTGAAAATTCAGATTGAATATTGTTGCATGAAATGAGTGTAGAGAAACAAGCAATATTTGTAAAATAGCATTTCATATAATTCAAACTGTGTAAGTCAAGAGAGTAAATAAGTAGATATTTAGCTGTTTGGTCTGTATGCTTAAATATTCATGTATTTACTTTGATCAGAAACTCTTTTTTACATCTTATTTTTGGGAGGTGTATGTGACGGTCACCTTATATTTAGGCTTATTTAGTACTTCCATAAGAAAATTTAGTGTAGATTCTCAGAACAACAATAACAAAATATACCCCAATAGTCTGAATGGAAGTTAAAAAAAATAAATTTGGTGATGTTTTATATTTATTCAAATAAAAATGTTTTTCTGGAAGTTTAGTTTATTTTAATGATTGTTTTACTCCAGGATCTTAACTCTGCCACTGTCTTTGTCTCTCTCCACTCCCTTTCCCTGGTCCACAGTTCTTTTCTTAGGCTGGTAACCTCATGTCTACACATTCAAAATTCTTGTATTTCACCTTCTCTTCTACTTACGTTGGGATGTTTAGTACTATCTAATATTATACTTGATAATAAGAGCTGTATGTCACTACTTTTCTTCAGTTTAAAATTTTAAACACAGGACAACAAAGCCTTTTAAAAATGTTTATTGCCTTTATGACATTTGTAAGTTTAGAAATTTTCTGAGATAAATTTACTTAAAAGATGTTGTAGTTCTATTTTCCTACTAGTTCCTTTAGTATGTATTATACAATTTCAAAAAGTTTTCTCTGAGAAAGATGTGTATTACACAGCTTAAGATTTTAAACAGATTAAAAATTGATCCTTGACATTTGAAAAAGGTTTATCTTGACACCTTCAAAAATACTCTGTATTCAGATAGTCCATAAAATATAATTCGGAATTATTGAACATTTTAACAGACCACTTTCAACCCTTAGTGAGAGTTTACATGCTTTGTTACACATTCTTGTTTTTTATTGTCTTTCTTGTAAAGGTATTCAGGGACTAATTATTATACAGCCCTTATTTATACTGTACTGAATATTTTTTAGAAGTACTTTTATATGTAATCAAAATTTGATATGACTAGTGACCAACCTTCAAAGATCTGAAAATAAATAGAATGAAGTTATTTTGACTCTGCTGTTTCAACCAAAAAATGTAAAAAAACCCTGTTTTTATTAACGAGTAATGTATATAACAGATATACTTGATTCTCAGCAGATAGAGGGTTAGTTGTCCTAGTTCTTAAGCAATGTCTAAACAGCCATGTCCGAATGACTTTTTCAAAATTTCATATACCCTGATAGAAAAGTATAAATCAGATCTAGTTTTTGATAGTATAGATTTTACACATTGTTTTTCTCTCCTTCCTTTAAAGTTGGAACACTTGTTGGACTGTCTTTCGTGACTCTGAGTTGATATCCTTTGAGTTTTGGTAAGGTGAAATAAGCATGAATTTAGACAAGAGGTGCATTTTCTCAGAAAATGACATGTTTCACACTGCCCACTTTAATTAAAACTTATCTGTGTTTTGTTTAGGAAAACAGTGACATTGAAAATGACAGTCCAGTGTGGCAAGACCAGATCCTTGAAAATGAAGAAGCCATTGCTCTTAGCAGGAAGGACAAAACTATTCAACATGTGGAAGTATTTTGTTATGCCAGGTATGAAAAGTGTTTACTGCAGGTAAACTAAGTTAATGTCTTTTTCACTCTTCTTCAGAAGAAGCCAACAATAAAGATTTAGGTGGCATTGGTTGCTACAGGTTACATTAATATGCTGGTTTTGCCTGTTTTTAAATGGAGCTTTCAGTTTTCTCTGTTTGGGTGATAATGATAACATCTTGCCTTAATGCCTTCGAATTTACCAAGCTGTTTTAAATATATTATCTCATTTGATCATTAGAACAATTCTGTGCTAGGGTAGGGCAGATAGTAGTAGTAATAGTTGGATTTTTTACAGAAGCCTCAATGGAACTTAAGGAGATTAAGTAGTTGCAGAAGGTCACGTGGCTTGGTAAATGGCAGGGCCACACTTAAGCTCTAGAGTGGTAGAGCTCAAGATTAAATTCCAGAGTTTTTTCCTCCTGCTCCAGGATTCTTCCAACTATATCATCTTTCATGAATAAAACTCAGTGTAGCAAAATGGAAGATTATAATTTTTGAATAAATAAATTTTGTGGGCATAGTATTTGGGTACATATTTTGGTAAGTTAGGATAGAACAGTGGGAAGTAATAATGTTTTAAGTATCTTCCTCTGAGAGAGATTCACTGTTTAAAAACAATTGGGTTAGTTTACTTTTTCAAATGATATATGATTGACAGGTTAAAAGGTAATAATCACATAGTTAAGTCATTCAAGTAGTTGTAGAGTCCAGAGGTTTAGAACATCAGACTGTCAGGCACTTTAATAGTAATTAAAACTTAAAATTCAATACACCAGAGATTCTTCAGGATACGCTTTGTCATCTTACATATCATTTTTGTGGCAGAGTGTTAAGCATGAGCCTGTGAAAAGTTTGGGAACGTGCTTGACTTCTTAAGCTATGTTCATATCTTTCATGTAAGTAGCATTCTTTCCCTGTAATATGCAGTTTGTGTTCTGTGATCTTCTGTAAAAGCGCAGCCTTTGAAATGTCTGGTATAGATTATAATTTGTATAATGCTAAATGCCATTTGGTATGAAAAGGTGCAGCTCACTAGCTATTGTTCAGAGCCAGTGCTGAAAGATTTAAAACAGAAGATGATTTCAACTGAAAAGATATATGCTTTAATGAAATGAGGAATAAATATTTGGTAACTTTCTTGTGTACTTTTGTGTGCCCATGAATATAGCTTGACTACAATATAGTGACAGTCACACTGGCCTTCCGAGAGGTATTATACTTTTGTTACTTCAAGGCCACTGATTACTTTTTATGATAATTGAGGTTAATAGTTTCTAATGGCTGAGTTGATACATTTTGAATGCAAAGAAAATTATCTTATTTTCAGTTCCTGATCTCTTTAGTTTCATTTGTATAACTTCTCAAAGTGAGAAACTAAATTGTTGTTGGTGGAAGTTTTGTTTGAAGACAGTGAAATAGAACTGTTATGTGTTCCTCTGGCCAGTTAGAGTGTGGGGCAAACAGTGAATTGGGTAATGTTCTGTATGTCTTAATTCACTTGGAAAAGTTAGCTGGTTATTAATGTCAGGAAAATAATAGCTGGTTATTTCCTAAGCAGGAAAAGCCTTGAGAACATCCAGGAAAGTAGAGAAAGTACAGAAAATCCATTTGTAAGGGCTATCTATAGTAAGTGCTGGCAACATGGGTAAATAGGACTAACAATATCTCACTTAGCCCCAGCAAGACTGGCTTCCTTAATCTTTTGGATCATGTTCACAAACTTGAAATTATATGAAAGAGGCTAGGGCCAAAATAGTTGTCACAAAATTTTACATTATACAAGAGGTTATCATCAGCACTCACTTAAATCAAAAGCCTTATTTATTTAATACTTATTTGTGACAACCTCATTTTCTGTGTGTGTGTGTGTGTGTGTGTGTGTGTGTGTCTATGGGTGTGTTGTGCGTGTTTGTGTTTCCCCCTAGCATTGTAATTTAAAGCAGCAAATAGGACCACATGGAAACTAGGGTTATAGTCCTTAATTTGCCATGTGATACTGAGCAAGAGATGTCTATTTTGAGTCTATGTTTTGCCATTAATAAAACGTGTTTGGAGGGGTTTGGACTAGGCGATCTCAGAAGTCTCTCTGGGCTCTAACATGCTACTATTTTAAGTGCTACTTGGTAGAATAATAAAGGAGAAGACAGCATCGGCAAGCTGAAAGCATACTTTGGGCCATTTAGTGTATGGGTAAGTGGCTTTTCATGTCAGAAGATCCCTTAAGGCCATCACTATATTATAGTCCAGTATAACAGGTGATGATCACAATTGTATCCCAGTGTCTTCAGGCAAAAGTTACATAATGTTCTTTATCCTTTACTTGAAAAAGTAGAGGATTTGAAGTACGTTTTAGAAAGACAAGTATTAAAAATGATTAGAATAAAAATTGTACCATTTTAAGAGACGAGCTTTTGTTATCTAGAAAATTCTCTTACTTCCTCTTGAGTAAGTAAGAGTATCACTATATAGTAGATCTTTAACATTTTTAAAGGATACATTGCAAAATCTTCATGGCTACCCTTTTGTAAATAATGAAAAATATGGTACAGGTTTCTGGCTTTTTGTCGTTGCTTTTTGAAACATATGTGTTAGTGATGCTAATGTTACATTTTGCAGATATGGAGTTTGTGTGTATTTAGTTCCATACAATTTTATCACATTTGTGGGTTCATGTATTCACTATCACAATCAAGTTACAGAGCAGAGCAGTTCTATCACCACAAGGACCCCTACTATTGTTTTTCTGTTAGCACATCTGATCTACTTCTTATTCACCCTACCATTCATAACTCCTGGCAACCACTAATCTGTTTTCCAGCTCTATAATCTTGTCATTTTAAGAATATTATGTAAATGGAACTGTATAGTATGTAATGTTTTGGCATGGGCTTTTTTTTAACTCAGCATAATTCCCTGGAGATTCATCCAGGTTGTTGTCTGCATTAGTAGTTTGTTCATTTTTCATCACTGAATAGTATTCCACAGTAATGGATTTACCACAGTTTGTTTAATCATTCAACCATTGAAAAACATCTGTTTCTAGTTTTTGCTATTATAAATAAAGCTGTTATGCAATTTGTGCATGCATTGGTTTTAATGTGACTTTCTCTGGGACAAAAGTTTTCGTTTATCTGGGATAAATACCTAATATATAATTGCTGGGTCATATGGTAATTACATATTTGGTTTTAAAAGAAACTGCTAAGCTGTTTCAGAGGAGCTATGCCATTTTACATTCCCTCCAGAAATGTGTAAGTAATCCAGTTTCTCCACATACTTACCTTAATTTGATGTTGTCACTTTCTTATTTTAGCCATTTTGATGGCTTATTTTGAATATTTTTTCATGTTCTCTTATTTGCCGTCCATAAACCTTTTTTGGTGAAGTGTCTGTTCATGTCTTCTGCTTGTTTTAAAATTGGATTAGTTTCTTACTGTTGAATTTTCAGAGTTAAAAAAAATCCATTCTAGATATGTGTCCTTTGTCAGATATGTATTTGGAGAATATTTTACCCAAGTCTCTAGGTTGTGTTTTCATCCTCTTTAAATAGGATATTTTACAGGGCAAATATTTTTAATCTTGATGAGATCTAATTGATCAATTGGATGATTATTTTGGTGTGAAGTCTAAGAACTTTTTGCCTAACTATAGGTATAGATTTTCTCTTATTTTTTTTTAAATTATAGTTTTATGTTGGATGTTTAGGTCAGTGTTCTTTTTTGTTTTTCGATCTAAGGATATCCAATTGCTTCAACACCATTTATTTGAAAAGGCTATTCTTCCTCCATTGAATTACTTTTATACCTTTGTCAAAAATCAGTTGATTGTACTTGGATGGGTCTATTTTGATGTTCTTTATTCTGTTCGATCTATTTGTTTTTTCCTCCACTAATATCACATTATCTTTATTACTGAAGCTATATGATAGGCTTTACTCTTAGATAAATTCCTCCCAATTTATTTTTCCTTGTCAAGATTGTTTTAGATATTTTAGAGTTTGTGCCTTTCCATATAAATGTTTAAATAAACTTGTCTATGTCTAAAGAAAAACCTTGCTGAGATTTTGATAACAATTGCTTTAATACTATAGATTAGTTTGGGAGGATTGACCTCTTTATTATTTTGAGTCTTCTAATCTATGAACATGGTATGTCTCTCTATTTATAAAGCTCATCTTTGATTTTCTTCAATAGAATCTTGTAATTTTCAGCATATTGATCCTGTACATGTTTCATTAATTGCATACCTAAATATTTAATTTTCTTTGGAACAATTATAAATGGTATTGTCTTTTTAATTTTGGTTTTCACATATTCATTGCTACTATCTAGCAGTGCACTTGCCTTTTATGTTTTGATTTTGGATATTTATTGAAATCTTGCTGAATTTACTTCCCAGTTCTGGAAGCCTTTTTGTAGATTGCTTGGAATACCTAGATAATTATGTGTTCAGTAAAGAGGAAAAGTTTTACGTCTTTCTTTTCACTGGCTGCTTTTTTTGTTTGTTGGTTTAGTTTTGTTTTTAAGAATCTATTTTCTGTTGTGAGTCATGTGTTTTCCATCCACAGCCTTATGCCACAGGTTAATTGTGTTTCTGCTTATCCTTAGGATCGCTTAATAAGCCCTACTTTGTTCTTTTTTCCCAGAAAGGAAGTTCTCATCACTTCCTGAGGACATTTTAATTATACACTAATGCTGGGTAATCATTTGAGGTCTCTCATTTGCTGAATATATTGTTCTTCCACATAGTGTCTCAGCATATGCAATTCAAATCTATAATCTGGCCAAATGACAAATTATCAAAAGTACTACCCTTAAATGATTATTCATGCCAAGAGTTTAGTGTATTTGCTTGTATCAAGCAAGTAAATAGATATAAGTCAAACTTGAATCTTTGGTGCACTATATATGAGGAATATTGTTTTAAATGTTTTTGTAAATTTCTAAAACATCATGTAAAAATGACTTCGTAATGATATGAAGGCTAAAATATGATGT